CTTTAAATCACCAGCATTTCCTAAATTCCCAATCAACTTCATGCTTGGAAAGGAACCCGTATAAATGCTCAATTTGTTAATATTAGACTGGGTTGAGCAGGTCAGGGAAAAGTGTAACCTTGGTGCATAATGATAAATTGAACACAGCAAAAATATCTCAGATCTGTTTGTCATAATAGCTGTGAACACGAATGCTGAGTATGAGGGAGAATGAATGAGGATATAATTAGCAGGAGAATCTGCTATAGCTGAAGATCACCCCTCTCTCTAAATGAGAGTTTCTTAAGGGATGGGGGAAAAAAAAAAAGGAGATTTTGCGTAGAAAAGTCTACTTTTCTAGAAAGTCTGTGGTGAACTGTGACTAGGAGAGCCAAGAAGTCCAGCCAAATAAAAGAACGAGTGGAAAAGGCACGGTGCTGGAGTGCAGCGAACCAAGTGATGGGTGAGGGGGCCATTGTGCTCCCAGGGAGCGGGGAGGTGGCGGAGGAAATGACGGGGCTGCGTGCGTGCGTGCCGGGGAAAGCATGTCCGTCTGCGCGTCCGTACGGGAGAGAACGTACACGTGACTCCGAGTTTGAAAAGGCGACGAGGAAAAGAGGCAGAGAGAGCTGCTGGGTATCTTTCTGAAGCCTCTGCTTGCCACGGTCTTAATGTGGGAGGTGAAGACACTGACAAAATCTCATTTTCCTTGCGTGTGCAGTGGTCCCCTTGCCTTCGCACAGGTTCCCATCTTCCCTTTCATCCTGTCCCCTCACCCTTTCCTTTTCTCTTTCTTGCTCAATGAAGCTATTGAGTGTTGTATCCTCCTTTCCAGAAGCTGTTTCATCCCTGCTTGCTCGGTTCTTAAAACTGCTTTCTCCACCCACCTATAGTCTTGGTCTTTCATCTGTGCTGGTCCTTTGCATTTACCCTCTTTAAAAAATAAAAGGGAGCCAGCAACAGCCTGGTTTAGTTGTTGTTACTCCAATCTTTTCTCTCATCTTCTGTCTGTTCTTCATTTCTTTTGTTATTATTACCATTATTATTATTATAACGCTAGAAAGAAGCTTCATAATTAAATACTCCTGCTTATTTGCCATTCTGAATACCACTGGAGAAGCTGGGGGACGGGGAGGGATGTTCAGAGCATCCTTTTGCTACTAATGCACAATGAGACACATGTAACAAACAAATCTAGCCCATCTCAAAAGCAAATGAGGGGCTTTTTATCAGAACCAAAGAAAAATGATCAACTAGGCTCATTTCAAGTGCTGTGCAATGCCTTATCCATAAAAACATACAGACGGTATTAAAGCATACGAAAATATCTGTAAGTGTCATTAATGATCCTCCTCTGGCACACGTGTGCAAGGCAGCCGTGAACCAGGCGTGGGACTGCATCTTCAGAGCGGTACAGAGCATCCAGCTATCGCTGTGCAGACGGAGGTACAGGTCATCCCCTTGGTCTAACCCCCTGCAGCACTCGTACAGCGTGGTAAAGGAGGGAATTTGCAGCTTGAACACAGAATTTCTTTGTATTTTATATATTCAGGCCAGAAACAGAATGTGGTACATTAGCATTGATTCTGTGGTTTCATATCACTTTTTTTTTTTTCTTTTTATAAGTAGTACACAAAGGAAGGGAAAAAGACAGAAAGGAAAATAAATCATCCCTTATATACATTCAAAGCATACACAGCAACAGTTCCTTCATCCCTGGGTGTGCTGTGAGTGTGTATTGATGTTAGCAGCAAGAGATTGCATATTAGAGATCTGTAACACTGCTGGAGCTAACCATTCGCAAAAAAGGTAGTGCTTTTACTTGCCTTTCACCCTGTCTTGTATGTTCAAAGACACTTCAATAAGAAGAAAACAAATTACCTAATTATAAAAGGGAGATTAGTACTGTTAAGTGGAACATTAAAAGGGTCATATTTAAAATATTTTCATTCCTCTGATATTCCCCAAGCATCTCCTGGACAAAAAACTGTCATAACTAACCCCAAAAGCATCTCCTTTTTTTTTTTCCTTTTTTTTTTGGGGGGGGAGCCATTTCATAAGCCGGAATCAGGGCATCAAAAGAGAGGGAATAACATATTTCTGGACAGTTGGAGAACATGATATTTGGAAGAAAGAGTTAGGGAAAAGTTGTCCCTGCAGTTGCTGTAAATGCAGTACAAAGATAATAACTCCCATATATACCAATGCAAGCAGCCTGGAGCAGGATGAATAACTGCGTTTGCAATAGCTAGATTGAAATGAAATACTTGCTCCTTTATTTCTTTACACTTCATATATTTTTCATGTAAACTTTCAGACTAGATGTGGGCACCCTGTGAAGTCCCTTCGTGCCACGTAATTGCAGTGACACCCCTCTTTCCACTGGCAGATATTCAGAGGGTATCGAGATCTCCAGATATCCTCTGGAGATCGTTAGGAGGTTGTCTCTAGAATATATTAGCCTTAGAAAAGACTTCTGCGTGAAGAGTTTGAGATATCTCATTTTCTGAAGTTGAAGAAGTGCTGTGCTCTATATGGGGGATCCATCCATCATCCTGCTAAGGGTGGCAAGCCATTGGTGGTCATTACCTGTCTTCAGGAGAAATGGCAACAGGCAATAGCGAAATCAGCTCTCACTTAGGAAATCACTGCACCTTTAAAGAGAAATGTTCGGCTCAGTTTACTTGAGCTGCCAATGCAAGATGCGTGAAGCACAGAGGTGAATAAATTCCAAAGGAGGAACTGCTCGCGTCTTTGCAAACGTAGCTTTACAGAGGGGTGCAGTCACTGGTGTGTTTAAAATACAACCCACAAATATGCTAAAAATACATAGAAATACAACCACGGGATGACTGTCGGTATAAGTCTTGTATCAGATTTACAGGGGCAGGGCTGTGACTTAACCAATACATTTCCTTATAGCAGCAGGGGGTCACTATAGGGATAAAGCTAATTCATATTTTTTTTGCTTTTACCATACATAGACAATATTTTAACAGTCTTGGTTGGTTTTGGAAGCTTCCTGGCAACCAGTTGTAATCAGTGCTGCTGGCTGCAGTGCTGCATGTTGATTTGAGGAGTGTATAACCTAGTCCAAAGTAAGGGAGGCAATATTTCACTGTTCAAATCCCTGTTGATTTCAGAGAAGTGTTCAATGGGGAAAACACACATAGTTTGGCCCTCGGTTAGCATGACATAAAGTATTTTCTCCTAAAATAGGATCAGACACCCAAAGAGACAAGGGGCTCCGTACCTCCTCTCTGCCCTCACCGTTAGGTTCGCACATGGACATTCAACCCCTCGGGTCACTTGGGAGTTTCAGGATGCATCAGGCCCTTGTGGGTTTGAGGCATCGAAACAGAAATGGGCATTTGTTTAGAGAGAGAAAAGCCTAGTTTTAACAGTACTAGCTTGTTTCAAAGCTGTGGATGAATTTTCAGGGGCTTTAATAAAAAAGCTGTTGATTTGAATTGGATTTCTTATGAAAAAAGTGCTCTCACAATACATATTCTCATTGCTTTCACACATGACTTTATAGTATCCCTAATTAAAATTTTAGTTAAGACACTATCGTCATATTCAATATGAAACAGGTTGAGACATATCAAATAGAGGAAAATGAGCTCTGACTCCTTAAAAATAGTGTCAGTCAGAAAACAATACAAAATTCACTCTTTTTGTTTAAAATTAATGGCTCAAACCTTCTGTGCAGGAAAACAAATTGGTTTATTCTGTGCCTGTTCTCTGCTTTATAAGTCTGCCGTAGCCTTTTAAGAGCAGGTGGCACTTTGATGCTATAAAAAATAAAAACTCTGTGTTAAATGAAAGTATATGTTAGATTTTTGATTTTTTCCTCTATTGGTGGTAACCTAAGCATAGAGAATTACACACAAAGCATAGAAATGTTACCCAATTCATTATCCGTAACATTTTATTAGCATGTAAAGCTGTATGAAGAAAATTTCAAGATGCTCTGCCTGATGTTATAAAACTGCCTCATCTTCATTAGTATGAGAGGAGTTGTTGAAAAGATCAATCAGTAGATTGTTCACGTACTGGAATAAAAAATCCAAAATACAAGGAAAGGAAGCCTTTATTTAAGGGCAGTCAGATAAAACAGCCGTGTGGTTCTACATTATTAAATCACTGCTTATATCCATCGATTCCACTTATCAGTCATTAGTGAGGAGATTTGAGAGTTGTCTTGTTGGTGAAGGCTGGTGGTGAAAGTAAGGGACACGAGACAGTCTTTGCTAGCAGTTTACTACAGGACCCAGCAGTGTGCTCTAAGAACTCTCTGTCTTACTCTGACAGTGTTACAGCCAAGGTTTTACCCTTTAAAGACACCCAGGTTTCACCACCGAGAACTGAATAGCTTTTGCTCTGCTCCATTCACCGTGGCACCACAGTGCACAAAGCAAGGGTTGCTATGCTCTTAGCGTATCTCAAAACGAGCAGAAGAGTGGGAAACACTTGTCAAAGCCCTGACATTTAGATTTGCTTTTTTGTTTTAAAGAAAATGATGATGAGCGTTTCTTTTGGCAGTGTTTCGGTTGTTTGGGGTTTGTTTGTTGTTTTTCCTTTTTAGTGAGACTCTGCAACATGATCAGTTTTGATACAAAATGCTTTTTAGGGGTTAAGGTGCAGTTTTTATGGATCTTACAGCAATTAACAGGTGAGCAGTACTTAAAAATGCTCAGAAATCCCTGTCGCAGGGACACGGTGAAAAGTTTTCCCTTTCTGAGGGGCCCTGGCTCCTTGCTGTACTGACATCCAGTTACAGGTAGCACATTAACAAAAAATAATTCTAGTGCCATGCTTCGTATCTTCAGTAACATGATGTAAGTGAATGCGTGCTAATTACAACATGAAGCCATCTGGTTAATTTTAAGCTTTCTATTTTATGTGGCTTCTTTGCTCCTAGACTTTCCTTTTGACACTCAGTTTGAAGAGAAAAAGAGGTTAAACTGTTTCATTTTGTATACAGGGAACAATTCATGTAATATACACCAGTCTGTAAAAACTGTAAATGCTATTTTTTTTTATTTTAAACAGTTTTCTTAGTTTACAAAAGATCAATAATTGGTACCTTTTTACACTCTCGGATTCCTGAATATTGACAGATCTTCAAAGGGAGTATTAGCATATGAAATCTTAAGATTGACTGTCCTGAAGGTTTTTAAGACACGATAAAGCTAAAATATCAAGTCTTTTAGACAACCCCTCTTAACAATTTCGACAGAGGAGCGTGTCAGAAATCACCAGCAAAGCACAGCAATCCCCCCCCCCGACCCCGTGCCACTGTCTGCCTGCACGCTGTTATTTGGTTGCACACTGCTTAAATCCCCAAGGAAAATCACACCTCGCATTCCCTCGCTGGCTGCTGGTGACAGGAACAAGATCCGTACTCATTAATGATCACCAGGGCTCCCTCAATGTGGTTGGGTTTGTAATCAACGTAATACTCCTGGGCTGACATGGCAGCCATTTGATGCATGGTCTGTTTTTGCTTCTGCTTTCTGCGTTGTGTTACAAAGCACTGTCTTAGATGCCTTAAGCTGGCTGGAAAGCACTTCCAGGAGACGTACAACACTAAAACCACAATGAGGAAGGAAAAAATCAGTGCCATGGTCCCCGTCACCACTTTGTGGATCTGAACGGCGTTCTCCGAGTTCTCGCCGGGCATGGTCACGGTTATGGCGTATGTCGTGCGGTCCCCTTCGCTGTCCTGCACGTCGTACGTGGCGGTGGCGGAGCCGTAGCTGAACGTTTGGTCACTGTTGTTCGTTACTGGGGAGAGGGTGTTAACGCTCGTTGGGTCCGCCACGTCTTCACACAAGTGAAAAGCGTACACCGCATCCAAAACATCCTCGCCCTGCGCGTACTCAGGGGTGGCACAGAGCAGGTTGCTGTCGTAGCGTCCCTTGAAGTTGCTCAACCAGGAGGCCAGGGCACAAACGTTGCGGCTGCAGTCCCAGGCGTTCGCGGAAAGGCTGATGCTAGTGAGGGACTTCCAGGAGTCGAGGACTCGGGAGTCAATGTAGGTCAACCGGTTGGAGTCCAGCTGCAGGGATTTGAGGTGAGGTACACTTTCGAAAACGTGAGGTTCGATGTATTCGATTTCGTTGCCGGAGAGATCCATTTTCTCAAGTTGCCATATCCAGTCCAAAGTGTTGACGACAATGGTAACTTTATTCCTTCGCAAGCAGAGGGAGTGCAGGGAGATGAGCCTGGGAAAATGGGCTAAATTCACCTTCACCAAGTCATTGTGCTCGAGGTGCAGCTCAGTGAGCTTGAACAAGCCTGCGAAAGAGTTTCGAGCCAGGCTCTTTAGCTGATTGTATCCTATGTCTAGAAACTTCAGGCTGCGACAGTCCTGAAAAATTCTCACTGGCACGAACTTGATGGCGTTCGACCGCATGTGCAAAGTTGTCAGTTTTCTCAGCCCGTGGAACAGGTCCGGCTCCAAAGACTGTAGGTTGTTGTACGATAAATCCACACTGCGCAAGTTTGGCATGGGTCGGAAAGTGGCGTTGGGCAGTTGGGTTATTTTGTTGGAACTCAGGGTGAGCTCTTTAACTCGCCGCAATTTTTGAAAGGCATTCCCCTCCACTGAGCAAATGTGATTGTGATCCAGATAGAGCCACGTGAGCTGCATTAACCCTGTGAACTGTCCATCATGCAGCTCTGAAAGGCTGTTGTACCGCAGAGACAAGCCCATCATGCCCGACAGGTTGCGAGGCATCTCTGTGAGATTCAGTGATTCACAGTACAAAAGCCTGCCCTCACACCGACATAGCTGTGGACACCCACTATTCACGGCTGGAAGCATTTTAGAAAAGATACCCAGCGTACACAATATCAACCCCGGGGGCTTCCTCAGCAGCCAGTTTAAACAGAGACCGATAAGAAGGAAATCCATTAGCAAGAATATTTCCAAATATGCTGGAGAATGTCCATTGAATCTTTTCAAATTCTACATCATATTTTATTTAAGGGAAAAAGAACAAAACAAAGCCAGAAAACCAAAGCAAAACAGCAAACAGAACAAACACAGAGGCAAATATTTCACTTTACAGCATGCAGGAGCTGTGCAGCATTAAAGTTCACAGACATTCAAAGGCAAAATGATAGTGATTTTGTTCATGTTAAATGCTGCAGCAAAGGAAAAAAAAAAATCTTTCTTCATGAAAGAATTTAATTAAAAAGTGTCTTACCCACCCTTTTCCAGAGAGTGACAACCTCCATTCAGTTGCTTCCTTTGTGTTTGGACTAATTATATGCAGAGCTAAAAAAGACCCCTCTGTGCTACAAATTCAGTCCCTTTCAGTTTTGTGCAGGGCTGGCAAGCTCACAATGTCTCACTTCGCTTCTGCTCAACGAGCGCAAGGCTTGTCCAGCTAGCTTTTTAGCTGACTCCTAGGACCTGCAAGTTTCAGAACTATGTACATGAGCTTGATCTTCTCCTTCTCCCTCTGTCCTTTTCTCTGCAGTTAACACTGTGGCGTGAAAAAAACTCCAAACTCTTTACTAACGACTCCACAGGATTTGTCAATCTGTTTAATGTCCATCATTTGCAACGACCATTGACCGGCACAACCTTTACTCCAAGAGAGAGGTTACCATTCATTCACTGACCGGCTAAGGGTAGCTTTATTTCCCATTCTTTGTTCGCTTTGCTGGTTAGGTGACGCTTAGAGCAGAGAGAGACAGCGAGAATCCCTTCCCTTCGGCTGAGCAGTGTGTTGCTAGAGCATGCAGAGGCACCTAGTGTTCACTGAGTGTCGTAAGCTGCTCAGGATTGTACGCCTGCACTGTGCGGCTCGGGCATGGGCAGACTGGAAAGGGGTGGGCATAAAACCAATGTTCGAGCGAACCAGGAAAGTAATACACGCTCTTTTGATGAAATGGAAAAGACTTTAAGCCCGGCTCGCCATTTCGCGAACGGGCGCGCACACGCAGCCGCGCAAAGCGTCAAGAGCGAGGCAGTGCTAAGTGGGAATTAGGATTCTTTATTTTTTTTTTTTTAATTTTATTTTTTTGCTTTTGTTTAAAGTCTGAATTTATAAGCTATTAGCTGGGAGAGGGAGATACTTGATTTCTTGGTTTGGAAAATTCTGTGCATTCTTGCTCATAGAAATGCAGCCAGAGCTCTGCAAATAGGAATGTGTGGTTTCATATAAGCTTTAATTACATTTGGTCGTTTTCCATCCTGCAGATTTTGTATATGTTGAGCACATGCCTTTCCTACAGGCTTTTTTTTTTTTTCCTTCTTCTTTTTGCGGCATACGCTACGGCACACAAAACTGTAATTCTTGCAGCATAAAGATTACTGTGCTTTTGGAATAAGATCGCCGCGTAGGTTACTCTGATCGTGTCAGCAGCATGCAAAGCAGGGCTTTAAAACCCGAGCAGTCAGTAAGTTCAGCAGATTGAGCTGGTTTTTGTTCCGCACACCAAAAAAAACATCCTTGCCTGATAATTTGCAGTCCTCATTATCCATGGGCGATGCATTGGCAATGAGCTCTCTCTGTGATTTTTACTGACTGAAAAACAGACAATACTTCTGTCAGGGAAACGCTGGCCATCTTTTCCTCTTCTGAAAGAGAGCCGAAAGCCTGCGTGCTGGTGGACGCGATCGGAGCTGACAGCTCACGATTCTGCAGGAATTCTCTCTGAAGAAGTTTGACATGGAAATACAAGGATTGCGGAAGATCATGCGAATTTTGAGCCAACGTCGGTTGTGGAATGCTGGAGGCAGGGCCAAACCGTTACATTGGCTGTCTTTTTCACGACTGTAGTATTTTTTTAAAAAAAATCTCCTTTTGGAAGTATCTGTTGCAGAGCTCCGAAATCCTAGAGCTGGTCGCTGCGTTTGAGGGCGGCTGGCTGCTGTGAGCGTCTGCTGGTAGAGATCAGGGAATGCAGGCGTCTGATGCAGTGAAAGTTGTTTCACAGATGTCCTGGAAAACTTCAGCTCTCGTGCATGAAAATGCGTGAAGGAGATTCGTTGCAAATGTATTTGCCAAAAAAAGTCTTAAATAAATTACAAAGCTAAAACACTTTGGCTGCGGTTTCAGAGGCTGGGAATTGATGTGCTTTTATGCTCCCAGTTCAGTTTATTCACATTTTTCTGCTATTCACAGCCCTTGCATTTCAGTGGTCTCAAAGCAAAAATGTGATGCTTTAACAGCATATGAACCTCTGCTATGTTTTAGCACTCGAGCAGGAAAGCTGAACATGGTTTTCCTCTGCCAGGATCACGCTGTTTGGTTCCACGCAGGCTGTTTACGCGAGTGTCCACTGGTTGCAGCACACCTGAACTCTGTTTCTCAGTACACAAGAGCAGGAGGGAAAGCAGTGACAGAACCAAGAGAAAGAGCGCTGAAGCAGGAGAAGAGATTAAAAAACCCTTGTCCAAGAATATATTCCTGATTACATTTCTGAATATTTTGATGCAATTAGCAGGAAAAAAAAAAAACATTTAAAAAGGTGACTTGAACTTTGCAGATACTGAAAAAACATTCAAAGTGATGAAGTTGTATCCCTTAGAAGACATCCACCCTGTGAGTCTGCATGGGGTAGGTCTTGCTGCCTTCTCCCATACAACAATATGGGGAGAGATCTGCAACCGGAGCCGTAATAATTTCAACGATGTCTTCAAGGAAAGCTGACATGTTCTGCAAATCAGGTGATGACAATGATCACTTAGTTGCCAGCTAAATGATATGTATAAAGCGAAGGATTCCTCTCGCTGAGACGGAACTCCATGATACATCCCTGGGAAGAACTGAATACTTTTTTTCACTGCTGCTTCTTGCTATCACCTGGGATACAGCCTGGATCCTAACCAATCTGCCTGCTCCCACACGGGCACATAATCTATTCTCATTTGGTTTCCAGAGGTAGAAATTAGAGCAGACAGTATCAAACCTATATAGCATCAGCTGGAAGACTGACAACTAGAATTAGGGACCCAGAATTAATGGCCCTAAGCACACTGTCTCGCAGCTCTGCCAGAGGTTTATTGCAGGAGAGACTCTGCTCTTCTTTGTAAAAATTTGTTTGTTAGAATGAATCCAGGTAGTCTTAAAGTGAGAGACCTCAGCATACGTTTAAGGCAGTGGTGTTGAGGCAGAGTACTGACCAAATTCAAGAATAGTGGCGGGTGGATCCTAAATGACAAACTTGGGTGAATATATGACTCCGCTCTGAAATGCCTGTTGGGAATTTGGTTTTCTTCTATATTTTTGAATTGTACTTTTTTTTGCAGTAAAACTAGGAATCCACTTTGAACATGATTGTAGTGGAAAGGGCTTAATTTCCACTGTCTGAGCTGTTCTCACAGCCATACTGTGAAGTTTACACATTTTCTGAAGTTTCAAAGCCTCTGGCAAATCTCTATAAATTAGTGGATTTAAATTAGCTTTTTAAAATGTGCTATTATAAAACATTTTAAGAAGTGCAAACTAAGTTTTTATGTGTTTAAGGGAGATTGATTAAATCGATGTAAAGTAGGTTACAGAAGAACAACATGAGTAAAGTTTTAGAAAGTTTAGCTGAGAAGCCATTTCTTGGAGTCATGACAAGTGTAATTCACTGGCAACACCCTGCAGTGCTGGTCGACATTGTGGAGACTGAAAAAGGAAAACATTTTTCGATGTGTTTAGTCTACACATTTTTAATACTGTATTCAGTTTAATGTCAGATATCATTTAACTAGCCTCAGAATCATTTCATTCCCACTAATTCCTAGTAGTGAGTGCCATTACTCTGTGTGCCTGGATACCTAACCTGCCTGCGCCTGCAATCCGGTACTGATGGGGCTGGGACAGAGTAAATAAGATCAGAATCTAGCCACTGTTGTTCAACTATGCATAAGTACGTGTTTTAATATATTAACCAATAAACCACAGGAAAACAAAACTGTATTATATACTAAGTATATTTCTTCCTTCTGGTATTTTCTGAGTGGCTTCTATCAGTCTAATAAAAAGTGGGACTTTTAGTGGTAATTTTAATTTTCTTTCATGAATGGACAGACTCAAACCTTGATCTTACATGGTAGTCTTTAATTTTTGAGTGCATTGAACCATGTCATTTTGCATAAAGCAAACACTTAAAACCAGAAAAAGGAAGAAAAAGACGTGACTCCAAGTAAAGCAAATTAAATCTGTTATTTGTCTGGTATTTATGTCTCAGTCATCCCTGACATTTGGCTGGCTGTCCTTTCTGTATAGAATTTAGGGTTTCAGCTGATAAGAAGTCCATCACCTACATAACATATCTCTTTTAGTAAATATAAAAATGCAATATATTATGTAGGCTTTTGACCAAAATATTCCTGGCGACTCCAGATGACAAAGTGATAACTACTGTTAAATTCTTATAGTGAAGAAGAGACACACTGGATTTGTTAATACCTTTAAATAATAGATATTCTTATGTAAATCACCTTATTTTTTTTGCCAATGTGATAAACACTTTTCTCCATCATTGCAGTCGTTTATTCTTATCATCAGTCACATTCAATAGCAGGTAGACATGTAGAGCTCTAGAAAGTCAGTGACAAAAGAGACCTATGTGCAGAATTGTCAACGCAGTGTAGAAATGTCAATTTTTGGGGAAATATATCAGTGGTATGGTGAAGTGTTTCTCTCCTCCATTCATTACTGATAGATTACGTGAATAAGCTAAAGGGTTACTGACTCTCTTAAGTAGCTGTGAAATTACCTATGGATTTCTGGATGTGCTGTCAAAGTTCTAGAGAGTGTTATTGGTTCTGAATATCCAGGTATAATGGAAAAATGACTTGTGTTACAAGTAAAAGCTATAGTTTTGTGGTCAATCAACACATTGCTGAAGATCATGTGGCATCCTGGTTAAGTAAAGACCAGTATGTTATGGTCAGGTTACCAGGTTGTTGGAACTCGTGGTTTATAGGGAAAGTGGAAATTTAAACCTTGTTTTTCAATTAACTCTTGCTAATTTATATCTCTAAAAATGTCTTGGGAAGTCTTCGAGGAAACAAGTGTAGAGTGCAATGATTAGCAATTGTAGAAGCTTTAGTTAGTCAGATTTAATTGGAAATCAATTAGTTCTACCTTCAGAAATGCTAAGCTAGACGTTCCAGAAGGGTTTGTCTCAAGACCTTCCCAAGCGTTTCTGGAGGTGGTAGCAAATGAACTGTAACTGATTTCCAATTAGCTTAAAAGCAAAGAGGGCCACAGCTTATCCATACACTGGAATACATCTCCTTTGCCCTTTTCTTCTGTTGATAGTTCACCTGTAAGGATTATTTTTGAATAAACTATAGTGCTAAATGGTCTTTTATTTGTGTTTTAAGACTCCTTTTCACTGAAAGGATTCTTTTTTACGTGGATGTAGCTAATCCACGATGGCTATTGACACCATTGCATCTCATGTTGGTTGGTTTATCTTGGTGTATTTACTCAGATAAATTAGAAAAAAAAAAAAGTTAAAAAGAATTAAAAAGTTATTCTCCTGAATAACTTGTGGTGCTCAGAAAGCTGGCAAATCCCAGCTGGGGACACGGCCATAACCATGCCAACAGACTCCTGCTGTGGAGAAGTCATTGGTGTTGCATTGGGATAGCCTTCTTGATGCAAAACTGTTCACTCTGTGTATCAATGACAGAACTTCAGTGGCAGTGAACACTTTTCAGACTTTCAAGGTGCAGGAAGTAGAGAGAATCAAGAGGAATTTATGAAATCAATCATTAAAAGCTGGGATAAACAAGTTAAAAGCTGTTCCTGGCAGTCTCCTGGAAAGGCTTTTTACAAATGGATGAACTGCTCTTGCA